TCTCATTGAGTCGGCTCGGGTTACATACGTGATGTCTACATGTCTTACAAAGGAACACATTCTGTAATATAGAGTATCCACAGTGGGCTCCTACCCACCTACTGGGAGGTTCAGTAGGTTGCTAATCATCCCATAAACCTTTGTTGTTGTGTTAGGTTTAGGAAATAGATCATGGCTTAGATTAAAACACTTCCCCTTTTATACCAACGAGACTAGGTTAAATAACAGAAACAGCTGCATCGATAATAAAAACCTCAGGGTGGACAAGCTGTTTAACTCACTTTGGATGTTATCATGCCATTGAATGGCCCACTATCAGTTACTGGACCACAGTGGGCTCCTACCCACCTACTGGGAGGTTCAGTAGGTTGTTAATCATCCCATAAACCTTTGTTGTTGTGTTAGGTTTAGGAAATAGATCATGGCTTTAATTAAAACACTTGTTAAAATTCGCTTCCTAGCTGGTGTTATAGCTACTATGTCCACTAGAGGTCTCCTTTGTATCAATGATCACCACCTCCTGGGCTACTGGGAGGTACAGTCGGCCCCTTTTCAGCCATATTTACACTATGGGCATGATGGTGACTGATAATGGTGTGGCAACATCTGCAGCAGTTGTTGTTTTTGTCTAACCACAGGCATCTTGTCTGCTAACTGAACAACTGCTTTTATCCAGCTTTTCCTTTTCTTTTTTTGACAAGAGCTTCTCCGCAGCGCTCTGAGTGTGCTGAGACAGTAATAAATGCTGAGAATGAATGAATCAACAGCCAGACCACAACCAGTGTTTGGTTTCAGTGGCCCGTTGACATCGACAGACACCGTAGGGCAAGCAAAGCCTTCGCCTCAAGCAAGGTTATAACAAATGTTGTGGCATCTGATTCGCATCGAGGGTCCTCTCGCTGCCCTCGCAACCTCAGATGCATCTTCGTCATTCTCAGGATGTCACCGTGTGAGCAGGAAATGCCGCAGAGTGACACTTCTTGCTTTCTAATCGGGTTGCAGGGCAGGAGGAGGGAGGGAGAAAGTGGGATTTTCCACGAACGTGACTTGTATCAGTCTCACACCTTAGTGGGGGACACACACTGATCGGTCCACTATGTCCACTAAGCTGCAGGTACATGACAATTCAACTGCCAACGATAATAAAACTAACTCACACAGTATTATTAAGGCTTCAAATGAACACGTTTCAACAGGTCTAGTGCCCAAACCTCGCTTCCAGTGACAATGTCATGCAGGAAAATGACAGAAAAATTTAACCTTATACGTCCTGATAGTCACAAATTTGAAGCCTTTAAAGCTCAGCGTGCTGAGCTCAGCGGGCTGATTCTGAGATCAGAAAATATGTGAGGAAGGCTGGTCGATACAGCTTTACTGTTGTTTTATGGAGCCCAGGGGAAGAGGTAGATAAACCAGCACCAAACCAGGCTCCTGGTAATATTTTATGAATGGTTAGTGCAAATCTAGTCTGAACTGTGTGTCAGCCAGACACGAGTGTACACGTCGGTGAGGAATTTTATAGTGAAACCATAACATCACGTAGCCACAGGTGTGGTGCTGCTGGAGCACGCCACACCTCCTGTTGTCATACGTACACACACACACACACACACATCTTCACTGTATGAATGAATACACACGTACGTGGAAGCACATCATGCACACACACAAAATGAGTTCACTGGCTGAGCAGCTAATGATGTGTGTGTGTGTGTCCTGTGGTGCAGTACATCTTCATCATCGAGCTAACTAACCTTGCAGATGTAAAGATGAATATGTGTGTGTGTTTATCCAACCGCTTACACGCCTGAGCACCCACCTGTGTGTGTGTGTGTGTGTGTGTCACTGAGACACAAAGCCTGTTGTAAAATGAAAGGAAAAAACTAAAACCACAGCAGGAAGGAAAAATGAGAAGGAGGGACTGGTGAGGAGGAAGATGCAGTTGCCATGGAGACAGAGATCTGACTCGGTCTCAAAGGTTTCCTATAGTTGTGAGGACACTTATCAATGTAACCCCCAAGTCCCTGAGCCTGGCCTCAACCAGAAGAGCTGAACAGAAGAGAAACTGCTGAGTAGAAGCCACAGGAAAAGACAGGCCTCGTCCTCTGAAACGTAGAGGAAACATGGATGGACATAACCCCGACCCTCGGCCTGACCCTAAACTGGTTCTAACCTGAGCCCTGAAACCAAGTGTGGACCCTCAAACAGCACATTGTAGCAGGCAGCAAGTGTGGCACAGGGAGGCCACGATGCACTGTTACATAACTCTCTGTCCCTCTGGGCTTTGTTACTCTCCTCTGCTGCTTCACGCTGCGTTGGATTCATTCCTGTCTGACCAGCTTTCAGCTCAGCACCGACACTTTTCATCTTTTACTGCTAAACACAGGTGTGACAGGAATAAACCTCACTATGATAGGAGGCCAGAGAGAAATCAGGTAGAGCAGCTTTAAAGTCTTCTGGCTGGGTCTAATCCCTGGAAAGCGTCACCACACAGTGGAGGCAGGTGGAGAGGTTTCCTCACATCCCACACACAGGTGAAGCTGATTTCCACAACCAGCCCCTCAGATAAAAGTCCACGCAGCTGTAACTTGATTCAGCATCAGTGTTGTTGTGCTTTGCCTTTGATTTATAACGTTGAGCATCAGATCTCTGTCCCTGAGCCAGGTTTCTACACACAGTCCATCAGTTTTAGCAGCAGCAGGGACGGTTCCGTCACCTGATGCAGAGGAGCGGGGGAAGTCTGCAAGCAGGACCCAAACAGGGATATAATGATTCGTCTCCTCACAAGTTGCTCCTCAGAGAGAAACTATGAGACCCAGCAGCCTTTTAATTCTCAGACAGAGAGAGAGAGGCTGAGCTGACAGACTGAGAAGAAAGAGCAGGCAGCGATAGGGTTTAATATTTAGTGACAGGTAGAGCTACAGGTCAGTTGGAAGGGGTAAAAGTGCATTTAAAAAGACAGGGCCACAAAGAGGAAGAAGAGCAACAGAGGGAGAGAAAAGGGCGACAGAGAGAAAAAAGAAGAGAAGAAGAGCATTAGCAGCTTTAGCAGCTTTGTAAAGGTCTCAGAGACTTGTTTAACTTTGAAAGTACAAGGCTGCATGTGAACAACACTGCTTTAAAATGTGACGCCGACCCGTCATTCTGTTCTGTGCTTGGAGCAGGAAGCAGAAATAAAAACAGAGAAATCACAGAAACATTGTTTTGGAAAGAATGAAGATTTTAGGCAGAGACGGTGAGCGCTCAGACTCCAGTTAGTCCAAGGCTCAAGGACGCTCAGAGAGACAGGGGTCACGTGCACATCTAACCTGCGTTCCTGAAATCTAAATTATCAGAGAAAAGAGGACGGGAGGAAACCAGGACAAGAGACGATGAGACCAAAGCAGAAAGCTGGAGAGAAAGAAGAAAAAAGACGGGAGGACGGAGGGAAAGGTGAAGAGGGAAGATGAGGAGACTGAAGCAGAAGAAACACATCATTAGGAGGCAGAAACAGATGTGGAGGATCAATACAGAGTGTTCCTGTGTTGCATTATAGTTCCTGGCTCTGACCAGCTGCAGTGCAGCAGCTTGGAGACGACACAAACACCTCCCCGACACCAGCACCAGCACCAACAGCAGAAGAAGAACATTCAAAGGCACGATTGTTGACACATCTGGTGACGTCTCAGTTGTGAAATGACAACTTGTTCTAACACGCGGCAGTGTGACAGTGGAAACCAGGCACATACATAAATACAACTGTTTCCACTTCATCTTTACAAGATATTCACAGAAAGGTCCAACCAGGTTATGGAGGAAGTGCTGTGATTGGTCGGCCACTGCGGGAGGCGGGGCTTAGGCCTAATGTTAAAGGTGGAGTTTCTAGTAAACACCTGAGGTTACAGGGCTGATGTCAGGGTTATTTTAAACCACGTTTTT